TCTCTGACTTCTGTCAGTAATGAAGTTGGCATTCCAATTAATTAGAACAGGGTGTACGCGCATTGTTAATGAGTTTCTGCATCAGAATGTTGAAATCAATACGGTCAAAAGCTTTAGAAAAGTCTAGCATGCATATCCGTAGGCAGGCTCAAGCTGTGTCCATCGCTTCGTACCATTTATGAAGCAGGTGTATTAGCGCCATGGTGGTGTTGGATCCTTTAATTGAGCCAAATTGGAGCTTGTCAGTTTGGTCGCGGATTGACTGCAAGAGCCCGTTATATGGAAATGACTCCAGAATCTTACTCACTGTGGGCGTGAGCGATATCGGTCGAAAATCAGAGTCAACATCCAGGGCAGGGGAAGACTTTGCTGCATGCGGGATGACATTTGCAGATTTCCACAGGGATGCAACACAACCATCATGAATAGAGGCATTAAATATAGATGCTAATGGGCGACATAATAACGAGGAATTTTCACGGAGGAACAAAGACGTGATTTCGTCACGACCTGCAGCTGAAAAGTACTTGACGGATTGTAATGCTTTCTCGGTGTCGTCGACTGAAATGTAAAAGTCGAGAGGAAAATCACCGACTTCGAAGGGCGTCCAAGAAAGCGGAGCCAGGGACTTTCCAACGGCAACAAACTTGTCATTAAACAGGTTGGCCAGAGCCGAATCAGAATAGGGCTGTCCGTTGTACACAAGTGTTGAAAAGTTTTTAGATGGGGAAAGGCCAGCAATATTTTTGACAGCGGACCACCACTTCCGTGGATTCGACTGAGTGGTATTAGCAACATTGCTGGTATAATACTTTGAGCGAGCACGCCTACACAAGTTATTAATTTTGTTCCTATGGAATCGAAACATAGGCTTGTTTCCTCTGCGCCAGGTCACTTGGCGTTTCGATATTAATCTTTTTATTTCCGGAGTAATCCAGGGCTTACCGCTGCTGTCAGATTTAATACGCTTCAGCGGGAGATATTTGTCAACAATACCATCGACAAGGGAAGAAAAATATTGGAACTGTTCGTCACAAGAGCCCAGATGATACATTGGAGACCAGTTAACACTAGATAGGGATTAACTTCAGTGATTAACCTCCAATTGGAGGGAAGTGCGTCTCTAACCATTCGGAAGGACCGCGAGTTCCTACGATGATTCAACTGTGGATTTAGTAAATCTGAGTTATGGTCTGAGAATCCGAGTCGAGGATCAACTTCAGGAACGTCGTACAATTTCGAAATGTTCGTGAATATTTTATCAAGAATGTTTGACCACCTAGTAGCACTCTTCACAATCTGTTTTAAGGAAAACGAATTGCACAATTGGCGGTGTTTGCATTGGTTGAAGTCGCCGGTTAGGATGATGGCAGCTCCTGGGTTGGCTGTTAGAGCGCGGTCAAGGGACTCGGTAAGATAAGCCAACGTGGTCCTATTGTCACTATTTGGCGGATGATAAATGGCTTCCAATATGATTGAATTAATGCCACGTGGTAGGCGTCTTGGTTTGATTAATAGCCACAAAGCTTCAAATTCAGGGTTTGAGAGATCCTTCAAATGGACTACAGGTAGACAGTTTTTCACGTAAGCGCCAATGCCCCCACCTCTTCTACCATCTTCTCGATCACGCCTAAATATAGAGAACCCACTTAAGTTTATCACTGCGCTATCAACGTTGGAAGTGAGCCACGTTTCGGTGATAACTACAATGTCTGCAAAGAGATTAGAGACGGTACCAGAAAGTTCATCAATCTTATTTACTAGCGACCTCGAGTTGGACAGGAACAGGGAAGGTACGGAACTGCATGACTTTGGAGGTCCTATCTGTTGCAAGCACGTCACAGATTTTCTACATACATCATAAACTTCTATCATGTGTTTGAGGGGATCGTGCCATTAGTTGGCCACGAACTGATGAAATATATTGGACTAATAACACCATATTTTCAACTCGACTTGACTCTCCACTTAGATCGATGTCCGCATTCTTGCAAGAAGTGAATTTACAACAATTTATTACATATAATTTAGAACTCTTGTCAACCAGCCGTCACTGTCATTTCTGTCCTTGATATAAAAATTTAAAAAAACTCCTCAATATTTGGTAACTTTACCTTGCCGCCATTTTCTAAGAAATTAAGGTACAATTGAATAAATTGTTCTCTTGCTTAACTATACATTCGTTGAATAAATAACTACATAATCATACATTCCGCATTGAATACATTACGATTAGCATGTTCGATTTGGTTTTGTGTTTTGTACATTGTTTTGCACACAAGCGAATATCAATTCCATTTTGACATTTCCTTGCAGGGAAATTTCTCTTTTCAAAATAGAAGTGAACAAAAATGGGCTTCATATTATTTTCTAAAATCGAACTGGATTTTATTTTGTAAAATCGACTTGGTATTTGTAAAATGGATTTGATATTATTTTGTAAAATGGACATGATATTATTTTGTAAAATGGACTTGATATTATTTTGTAAAATGGACTTCATATTTGAGAATACCGACATAACATTTGAGAAATGGACTTGATATTTCATTGTTCGTAATTTTGTCCGGTTTGGGCAAGCATACGAGAGCTTGAGGATAATATCTATCGTGTTTGATATATTGATATTTTTCACCTTGGGAGGAAAAAATCTCAACGTGTACGTCAGCGGATGCTGTACGGAGCTGCTTGAATCAATCCAAAACCATAGTTCCTTCATGTGACTTTGAACATAATTAAGGAAAATGCAAACGATTTTGTCAATTATGTTGTTGTTGAGTAGTTTTCCAAACATGTGCGGTCAAAATGCATAGCTGAGCTAGCCGCTACGCGAGGCGGTTATCTCAGCAAGTTTCTCTCGTGCGCGGCAGGCTTAAGGGAATGTTTCGTGTTGCAGGTTAAGGTAAGAATTTCGGTCTAAATTAAGGTGGCTCCCTACAGTTCTCTAAAATTCTAGGTATTTTGAGTAACGTTCGCTTTGAACCGAATTTATATTAGATACGCTTAAGACAAGGCAATATGATCATTTCCAGGAAAGTTCAGAAGCTGTGTGCTGTCCATTTATGAACAAATTAAAACAGCGTTTGTGTTGCCATGGCAACCATGATGTTTAATCTTTTGCACTTTTATTGTCTAATTTCACAATAAATTGACAATATCTATATTTTCCTTCGGTGAATTTTTCTGAAATTTTTTTTGAAGATTTATGGCCCATAAAGGAAAGACATATCAAAATTTGAAGGGAATTTACAAATAAGTTTTCGAGATATTCGTGAATGACGGTTACAGAAAAAGTTATTTGTAGAATTTCTTAAAATTTGGATATGTTGTACCACTCATCTTGTATAACAAAAATACAAAGTTTAAAAAAATTTCACCGAAGAAAACACGAGAAAATCATCGCTAAAATCGGCGTGGCCAGCATGAAAAAAAATCGCCTCGACATGAGCACGATCTGCGCATGCGTGTAAATTGTAGCGTGTGATTTATAGTGATTTCAACTTTTTGGCTTACAATACATACGAAAACAGATATTTCTGACTTGTTTGACATGAAAATAAAATATTAATCTTGAAAATACTAATAAAAAAAACACTATTATACGCATTGTATTAAATCCAGTATTATTTTACATTTGTTTTTGTTGTTAAAATCGGTGTGAAAACTTTTCAAAACATCGAACTACAAGTTTAACTTTTCATATAAAACAACTCATAACTGTTTATTTGATTTAGCAGATAAAACGATACCTGTGAATTGAATTGATTGACAGAACTTACATAAGTTTCGGCGACAGTTCACTACTGTTCAAGAGTTATAGAAGGCACTATCGTTTCAGTTTGACAGTTCGCAACACAACAAGTTTGAGCAATATGAAAGACAATACTGAACGTAAATACGTAAAAACACACTAAAAGATTGGCTAAACTAGTAAATAACATACGTACTGTTCGAATTCACAAAAAAATTAGGATTATAATGAAAAACTGGAGCTTTCTTTGTAGATAAAAACGCCAAAAAACTTCCCGCGGCTTGTTCAATATTTTTGCCGAACAGTAAACACGACGATTCCACGCGCAGGTCGCGAGGATGAAGTCTGATCTATATAAATCGTATTTAAACTGTACTAACTGTAGGGAGCCACCTTAAGAGAATTGCGCTGCACGTGCATTCCTTCCAGGGTGTAGATAAAAGGCGGACGGGCGGCGGATGGTGGACGGCGGCGCATTTTATAAACATATGACTACTACCACAACTATTTATAATACCCTAAATTAAAGCATACCAGCTTTAGTTCTGAATGATGAATATAATCTCCGTTTTAATTATAAACCTAAGAAGTTCACACGTGGAAATCGTCGATCTGCATGCGACGACTATTCTATATATGGATTTTAGAAGTATTATGTATTAGTGGCGAACCATTTGATGGGGTGGATTTTCATTGAGCCCGATAATTTTTTAAACCTCCTGGTGCTATACTCTTTTCTGTCATTCAAGGCTCTTGAACGATTTTTTTATTTCGTGGGCATATATAGGAAGTAAGTATTGAGTATAGGCTATGAATCGTGATTTATGGAATTTTTTACTAAGTTTGGACATGCAAACCTTCACATGCAATTGTATATATTTACAATTGTTTATATTTGTCATTTCGTTAACTATATATACATATGTATATATATATATATATATATATATATATATATATATATATATATATATATATATATATATATATATATATATATATATATATATATATATAATATATATAATATATATATAATATATATATATATAATATATGCATTGTGCGCATGCTCACTGGTCGCAGTTTGAGCACTCTGGCAATGGTTTGATGTCCCACATTCGTGAGACATCAAAGCTATGTGTACCGGTCCAGCCATGTGGTTAGACGTGTAATATATCGCTCCACATTATTCTTAAATTTTTTGAGTTATTTGCTGGAATACTCTGTAGCAAGTATTGTAATCGAAATGCAAGAACTACGGCTTTGCTGGACGGGTGATTTGGAGAAATTGAAGCTTTTTGTAAGCAAGAATGTTGATTTTGTCGGCGTATGGACTTCACCAGGCAACGATAAAAAAAAATACAGTGATGGTTATAGCTCAATATCCTGGCGCAAATCCAAGAAAGTGTTGGAAATAGAAGGCAGAGACAGGAACCTGATAACAGCTAAGTTGTGTACAATGTTATGTAATGATTTCGATCCTGTACAGTCAAGCAAAAGCGACAACTATTGCGAATTCCCTTCCACAAGCAATGAAATGCTTGTTGAATTGGAGGGCGTTAAACTCGATGTAACAATTACTGAGAAAGATATTCGTGATAACAAACATAGCATTAAAAACGTTGAAGATTGCCTTGATAAAGTAGTTGGTAAATTAAACATTATTAACCAACAGTTTGATGTATTTAGGGCGGAGTTTCAGTTGTTGAAAAATCAACATACGATTCAATATTCGCCTAAAGCTGTCGAATATTCAAATTTGTTTTTCCAGTATTATTACTAGAACATGATTTTTCCCTACCAGGTCGCCCTACTTCAATTCATCGCGGACAACGTAATTTAAATAATATTATTCAAATTAACATTAATAAAACTGTTATTTCCAATGCTAATGACTATTTCTACGTTCCGAAACTACTATTGACAAATACGATGTCATTAGCTCCCAAAATTGATGAAGTGAGTTGTTTTGTCACAGAAAAGAGTCCTGACCTTGCCTGTATAACGGAAACATGGTTAAACGACCGTATCTCAGATTCCTGCCTCGATATTCCAGGTTACAATTTTGTTCATAAAAACCGCAGTGTGGGTTCCCACGGAGGGGTTGGGGTGTACATCAGGAACACGATATTTTATAAGCCTCTGAATCATCTCCACCATACAGATTACGAAGTTCTGTGGGTCTATTTTCGTCCAAGTAGACTTCCTCGCGGGTTTTCCTGCTTGATACTTGGTGTCGTTTACCATCCACCTAATGCTAATGATGATGAAATGCTCCAATTTCTCTCCACATCACTGATTACTATTGAAAGCACCTATCCTGGCTGTGGGTTTATTCTTGCAGGCGACTTTAATCGGTTAAAATGCAATCGGATATTAACACAGTTTAGTTGCAAACAGATTGTTAACGTTTCCACAAGGGCCAACCAGACTTTGGATCTAATAATAACCAACTTACATTCGTTTTATGATAAGAACTCTGTCGAAAAATTTCCGCCATTTGGTCTTTCAGATCATAATGTTGTGATTGTCAATCCTTGTAAAAGAGAACCCAAGTCATGCAGTAGAAGAATTATCTCTAGGAGAGATTTACGATCTAGTAAAAGGCATGAGCTTGGAAGATACCTTACATCTATCGATTGGTCCTCTCTGAATTATTTTGACACATGCGAAATGAAACTCCAGTATTTCGAAGAGTTAGTACGTCTCGGTATTAGCACCATTATGCCAATAAAGAAAACGGCTCTGCATGTACACGATCCTCCATGGATTACTGCAGAATTTAAAGAGCTTATAAGGAAGCGTCAAGCTGCCTTCTGCAGTGGAAATACCTTTCAGTTCAAGTATTACCGGAATCGGGTTAACCGCGAGCGAAAGACATGCCGGGCGAAATTCTACTCTTCAAAAGTAAAGAATCTTAAATCGACCAAACCGAAGAGATGGTGGAAGGAGGTGAAGCAGATTGCTGGTATGGTACCTACAACCGGCTCCGATGACCTATGTAGTCAACTTCATTTAGACGATATCGAGAATATGCAACGTCCTGACATTGCGAATTTAATTAATAACGCCTTTTTGGAGCCCATGAACTCCTTTAATCCACTGTCAACCCTTCCCCCCTTTGATAATTATTCCTCTTTTCAAGTAAATGAATTGGAAGTCTTTCATTTATTGAAAGCAATTAATCGTGGAAAGGCGTCAGGTCCTGACGAAATTCCCAATTGGGCTCTTAAGGAATATGCTGAAATCCTTGCACAGCCAGTATGCGCTGTGCTAAACAGCAGCTATGCCGAACAACAACTACCTAAATCTTGGAAGCTTGCCAACATTGTGCCCCTCATAAAAACTAAGCCCGTTAGCCACATTTGTAAGCAGTTACGACCAATTTCACTTACTGCCGCTATTTCGAAAATCGCTGAGGACTGTGTTGTTAAAAAATACATTGCTCCAGCTATCATGAGTATAATCGATCCAAGTCAATATGGAGTAATACCAAGAAGTTCAACTACTCTCGCTGTTATATCTATGATCCATGAATGGTCGCAAGCTACTGATGGCACTGGCTCTGCTGTCAGAGTCATCCTGTTCGATTATAGAAAAGCATTCGACCTTATCGATCATGCTTTACTGGCTGATAAAATTTCCACTTTAGCTATTCCACGTGCGGTTGCTCGCTGGACAATCGATTTTTTGATGAATCGAAAGCAGAGAGTGAAATTATCCAATGACTGTTATTCGGAGTGGGGTGATGTACTCTCCGGTATCCCTCAAGGTACAAAATTAGGGCCCTGGCTATTTTGTTTAATGATAAACGATCTTGATATTTGTGATATATCGAGGTGGAAGTTTGTTGATGACACAACAGTTGCTGAAGTAGTTAGTAAGGACACAGAGAGCCGTGTTCAAGTCGCAGTTGATGTTGTGGAAGATTGGTCGAAGGCAAATGGGCTATCTCTTAACGCTGAGAAATGTAAAGAACTGAGAATCGATTTTAAAAAAATTAAACAACCTTTTGATCCTGTACTGGTGGGTGGAGAAGCATTGCCTATAGTTGAGAGTGCAAAAATATTGGGTCTTGTTATGACAGGCACACTTCAGTGGAAAGATAACATCAGAGAGAGTATAAAGAAAGCTAATAAACGCCTCTATTTTATAGTATTATTGAAACGGGCAGGCGTAAATGTCAATGATGTTTTGAACTTTTATTGTACAGTGATCAGGCCTGTGCTCGAGTATTGTGCGCAAGCCTTCCATCATTCCATCCCAAAGTATTTGGCAGACGAACTTGAGACTGTCCAGAAACGTGTGCTAAAAATTTTATCTCCTCAAATGACATACTGTGAGGCCCTTGAGTATTATAGACTGCCTACTCTATTTCAAAGAAGAGAGGACATGTGTGACAAACTCTTTACGAGTATCATCAAGGATCCAATGCATAAACTTCATCATCTGCTGCCCCCGAAGAACGAGGCTGATTATTCTTTCAGGACGAATCGGTATTTTAATATGTACGTTACACGCACGAACCGCTTTTATAACTCTTTCATCCCTGCTATGTGTAGGAAGTTTGTAGGATAGATTTTATGCTCATTTTAATCGAATTTTGATCGTGGGTGGGTTTTATAATATTGTATTAATAATATATTTATATGTAGTGCATGTGATAATATGTAATCCACGCAATTCAGCTTCTGGCTGCAATGTGGTTTCAATTTAATAATAATAATAATAATAATAATAATAACAATATTTAGTTCAATATTTTGGAGTTGCAGACCGATTGTTGCCTTGTTTTTTGGGGGTTTTTTCGCAGAAGTCCCGTTTCTCGATTCAGCCCAGCATTTCTAGTGGTAAATATGTCAGAAACAAATGACCATACATCTTCACATAAGCATGTGATTAATTTTACACATAATTTTTGGAAAACACGTTGATTTCTAGTCACCTTACTCTATTTTATAACCGGCAATTTTCTCGCGTTTATTCCCGTTTCCTAGGATACGGGGCCTCGATTGCGAATTATGACTACGGTCTATATTATAGTCATGAGTACATGTAGCGCGAATTTATAAACTTTAGCTTACTCAATTATTACCATAGACGCTTTGCACAAAAATTTTAAATTTTTTATAATAGCAAATCATATTGGTGTTCAGGTATATATAGTTATTGCCGTGTTGACTCAATGTCAGCAGGGAAAATTTCTTTGTTTATATTTCTTTGTGCTATATTATAAAAAGTATAAAACATTGATATACAGTTTATCAACACTCGCGGAATTTGTGAATTATATCAACACAGAAAGTGTTTTATTGGGATTTGTTGAATATAATATGTTTCATTTCAATATTTATTTATATTTGATAACTCTTGTAAAATAAATCATACATTTTATTCGTTTAGCTACCAAGACCATTCTTGCCATGCTAACAAAACAATGCGCTGTATCTCATTATTACTTTGAGCACGATGGAAAATCCGTACGCCCGCGATTATTGATGAACTTTAGACTTCGATAATGCTTTGATTCCTTTTCACGAGTGTAACTGAAATAGCCGTGCGGAATTAGTGCTCTCGCCCCGGGCTTACCTCGGAACGGGGCTACGGCCGTTGGCTCGGGGAAAATAAGCAGAATTTAAAGAATTTACTAAGAATATACCAAAATCGTTCAAAGAACAAAGTATGAAAAGATACGATTCGCTGTGCTGTGATGAATCTATTACAAACGACTGCAAAAGTACCCTATGCAGGTTACCGTATTCCAAAATTTAAACATGTCGTAAGAATATTTTAAGACTAAATTTATCGAAAAAATATAAAAAAAACCTTTCTTCCGCAGTAGCAACGACATGTGACATTTTGTCATTTCAATAGCATTACATTAAGTCTTCGAAGCCACGCCCAACCGAATTAAATTCCTCACAAGCAAAATGCAACGTCTGAAATTACGTCCCACTTTGCTCGCATTATGCAACCGCGCCGGTCGAATTTAAAGCGTTACGGTCGACCGTTATTATAAAAACGTTCAATTTTCCATGTGCAAAAGTTAAGCTATTGAATTCGACACACGCAAAATGCGAGGTTTAAAGCAGGCCTAAGGCGGATTGTTTTGTTGTAATGTTTGAGGCAAATGTTGTCATCACTACTATACTCTTTAATTCGGTGGCAGCGCAATATTGAATATTGAGTACTAAGGCCAAGTAAAAAAAATAGTAGTTTCTCGTCCCCACCCGCATCGTTTTTCCCTGCCGCGTGGATTTTTCTTTTTTTCTCTTTTTTTATATTGGAGCCTTCCAAAGAATATCCACTTACATATTTCGGGCATTTTGCTTCTTTCGGCATAGTTCAGTTGGCGTTCGGAACTTTTCGTCAACTCTCACTTGCTGTTCGGTACTTCGCGCCGCTGTTCGTGCATATTGTTATTTTGGCGCCATATTGCATTAGTAGCTGTTTGTCTATTTTATTACATATTTACATTTCATGAGCAAACTTCAATATTTCCGTGTGTTTATAAGTTATTTGGTATACTTTAAGAGCAATATTTTAATGTTTAACATAAAAAAGGGCCCGCGTTCTCCTTTTCTTTTTCAAAATGCGGACGAGAAACTACTAATTTTTTTACTTGACCTAAAAACGTACTGACCGAGAGTGAGGGCCGTGACGGGAAAATTAAAAACCGAGGTCTTGTTGTATTGACCGAGTAAATATTATCCTCACTATGACGTCACATTGCATAATGAATATGTTTGATCAAACTTCAAGATCTTGGGACATCGTGTATATATTGCAACCGTTCATATGTGTTATGTATTATGTGTCAACTTACTACAGACATCATCGGTTTCGCTCGCTACTCTGGTTTAAATAAATGATTACAAAGCCCAGTCGAATTGTAATCAAGATCCAACGTTTCGACACTCCAGTCTAGTGTCTTCATCAGGGGTGATCTAAAATTGCAATCGTGGCTTCTCAAATACCCAAGGGATGACGTCACCTGCCAATGGGTATTTAAGAAGCCACGATTGCAATTTTAGATCACCCCTGATGAAGACACTAGACTGGAGTGTCGAAACGTTGGGTCTTGATTACAATTCGACTGGGCTTTGTAATAATTTATTTAAACCAGAGTAGCGAGCGAAACATGATTGATATACCTAGTTGCAGTGAACGAACAAACTTTAAATTTACTACAGACAGTCTGCAGTCAATCAGCTTCAAATTGTTCTTAATTAATATTAAACTACAAAATATATACAGCTATTTCAATTAAGGTTGTCATAGTCAATGGACCATTTGCATTATAGACGTAAATATTGATCTAAACACGTCTAGACAAAAATTTCATCACAGCTTGAAAGAGCATCACAAAATTAGTAATATTCCAAAGTTTCGTTGCGAAATGTTGTAAAATGCGGATAATATAGCCTTGCGAAATTTGCAATTTTCAGTAATTTTGTATTATACAAACGGAGAAATTGATGCCCCAACACCCGATTCGGCTGACAACTTCCCGTGCGTAATACAAAATGACTGAAAAACGGCAAACTTCGCAGGGCTATATTATCCGCATTTTACAAAATTTCGCAACGAAACTTTGGAATATTACTAATTTTGTGATGTTCGTTCAAGCTGTAATGAAATTTTTGTCTAGATCAAAATTTAGTCTATAATGCAAATGGTCCAAAGCGAGAACAGCATGCACGATGTGTGTACCAAATTTTAATATTTTTAACTGTTTGGGTGGCCTATGACCATAGCTCGTTCTTGTTTTGGCAATTCCAATGGGGTATATACATGCTATATAATACATTTCATCCTATAAAATATTTTATTCCCATTCTACTTTTGACGCTTGGATTGTACATTTGCTTGTGAAAACATTAATATAAGTAGCTATAGCTGTATATTATGTCGAGAAATTTAATAAACCAACTATATCTATGAGGGTGTTATAAAAAATTTTTTCAGAGAGCCATTATGCAATTTGACGATGAGTAAAATAATACATTTTAAATAACTCAACGAAGTTTAGCTAAGAAAGTGTATCTTCTCGCAGTCATTTGAATTTTCTTGACAATGCCATGATCATGAAAAATGGCGTGGAACTAATTGTCATGAACATTTCTTTAAAAAACGTGCTTAGCTACAGCAAAACAATTTCTGGTTCGCATATTAATAATTTATTACCAATAATTTATTCCAAAGGAGCAGATGGTGCAATTCGGCGGTTTTGATAGCTTTAACTTTAGTGGTTTAAATTACTACAACCTTCATGAGCAGGACCATTGCGACAAAAAGTCATTAATATACTTATTTTCAGCAATTCATTAATTAAAAAGATATGGTTATATGATCTATGATGACCTACATGTATATTACCTGCATGATGATAGCAGCATTAGTGATTAGCATAATAATGGTAATAATAGACAATCAAGTACATGTATGCCAAGCATTGTGAAAAAGACGCCTTCGAGTAGCTTATATTGGCATATTGCTTCGCCTCGGCTACATTAATTATTCTTGTGTTTCGTGTCGGCGTTTTCCATTTTAAAAAGCGTCAGTTCAGTCAACAATGCAGATGATATACGTTTTCTTTGCTATCATTGCCTCGACTTTATTCCACAAAAGTCAATGTCATCCTTCCGGAGCACCGACTTCTCAATGTGAAAGCATGACACCAAGTCGTGGCCATGGGGCTGTTGCCCAAGCAGGAGCAAGTCCGTTTGAAATTAAGGTCAACAGATATGCCAGGCGAAAAGGTCAGAGTTTCCATCGAAAGTTCAGGTGATAATATCAAAGGTTATCTGATCCAAGCAAGACAAGTAGGAGGAAACTCATCGACGGGAATGTTTGCAGCGGCTCCCGTAAATGGGAAGCACCTGAATTGTGGCAATAGCAAGGTAAATATATTAATTACATTCAATGCAGAAACAAAACGTTAGAAAGGGTTGGAAATAGTATGATATTAAGCCTCGACGAAAGAAAGTAATATTTAGGAAACATTTACAGGAAACACACATTTTATTAGCAACTTTTTAAAAAAATATTAATTTACAATTCAGCAATTGATATACTAGCTATATCTTATAATAGGCTTATCAGTATCTATAGTAGATTTTAATCTATAAATTAAAATTTGTTTTGTAACATTTCGTTAACATAGTACCCATATCTTTTTTCAAATTTGAAGAAAATATTGTTTATATATAGCTACATCTGTTTCGAACGCAAGTCAAGAGATCTGGTATTATGTCAACCTGCCGTTTATTATATTGCACTTCAATGGCTGCTAAGCAACTGAGTGTGAAAACTTTGGCTCTTAAAAACTTGATCTTGGTGAATATCTCTCTTTGACATTTAACACTTTATAGCGACAAGTTTTTAAAACTGTTACAAAACTGTTCTATGAATTAATATGAAATTAATATCGCAAATTATAGAATTGCAGAGAAGGCTAGCACTTAACTAAGATAAATAAATTTCACAACGATTATTTGAGAAAAATTCAAAATCTATAATAAAAACAAAACAGGAAGGAAACGCACAAATTCCGCATCAGTTTTGTGATCTTTGGAAACAGTGCCAGAGGTGCAGCTCGGTAGTTTTACATAAATTTAAGTATTTCAACGTAAAAATAGGACATATAAACCACTAGGTCGTTTGTCGCCGGCATCACTGCATGATCTCGTTATACAGCAAATTAAAGCGATATCGATAAAGAAAAAGTCGCTTCGCGCGGAAAAATTCGCCTAGTGGAATCATTAGTATAGAACAGGCTTTAGATTAAGCTCATGCAACAATCTGGAGGGCACCTTCAAATGAATTATTCATAAATTATTTTTGCTACGGGTAGCTGGGACATTGAGTCTATATAATTATCTGTTTAATATTTAAGAAATAGAAAACTTTAATTCATACGGTTATAAAAACACTCGTAATTGGCAGGGGCGTAGCGTGACCTTTTTAACTGGAGGGGGTGTAACATCTGAGTTTTTCCGAATACCACGTGGCACTTGAAGCGAAAGAATCTGTTTTATCCAATGGCCTCGTTTTCATGTCAATTACTTACTCATGTTTTGTGCTTAGTAGGGTTGAAAATTACTTTGTTATTGAGCCTAAGAACAACAAGAAACCGAATTCGTCCAGGAAAACATGGGAATATAATCTTTATCTGCCCCTGACATGCTTTTAAAATAAGTTAACATGGAAACGAGGCCAAATGATGTTGTGTAAAAGAGAATAATCGGTAAGGTCTATTAAGAATAAAAAGACTA